CATGGAAAAAAAATTCTTAAAAATTTATTTGTGGAGTATAAAGTTTATTTCTGTAAATAAATTTTATACTCCACACAAATAAATGTTCAAATGATTTTTCGTCAATGTAAGTGTAATTTAAAAATTGCAAAGTTACACCATCGATTGTCTTGCGTCGTGATAATCTTGAAATCTACGTGATAATCTATCTGAATTTGTCTTGAGATATATATATATATATATATATATATATATATATTTTTTTTTTTACAGATATTTTAGAGGAACAAATTGAAAATGCACAGCGAGATTGTAGTAGGATGTGGAGGGGGTTGAAAAATAGAGCGCTGCACAGACATTTGTTGTAAACGACTTGTATGTACAAATATGGTCGATATTTATACAACATACTTTTTTACGTCCGCTTTGTTGATACCGTATACAATGACTACTCTATGTACAAAAACTCCCTTGTCTATCGTGTTACAAATCCGCGCGGTCTGCGTCGCGTGGCAGTGTGAGTTTACTTTTTTTTCGTAATCTCTTAAATCCATGGCCCCAGACGACTCTCGAGTACATTGGCCGCGTCGACGCGGCCCATCAGTCTTAAATGGTTCAGCAAATCCGCCAGAGCCGTAGCTTCGCGGTGTCTGGCTTCCCACAAGTCCAGAATATGCTCGGTCGGGCTCGCTTTTGTTGCGAAGTAGTCGACGTATCTGTGTATCAAAGTGTCGTGTCGGTTTACGTTTACTCAGCAAAATCGCGAGGAGAAAAGGGATACACATTTCGTAGAATCTGATTTCAAATTCTCTTCGCCACAAATCATCAAACTGCATTCAAACTGCGCACAACACTCACCGATCGACTTGCAATCTCTGTGCCAACATCCGCCAGTCATTGCCGCGCGCGCTCGGCGGGTCCAGACATTGGCATAGTTGCTTTCGCAGCGTCTTAGAAAATCTACAATAACCGGAGATCTCCATTGATTTCGCCTTTATATTCGCTATTATTCACATGCAGAAGTAGGAGCAACATTTCGTTTCGCGAAATAAACATACATGGAGGAAATATAAAAATTTCATCAAATTATATCTCATTTTGCAATGTTTCTCGCGAACCTGGACTGTACTAACATTGCAGTATAAATTACGACATAGCAATAGCAAATTTGATAATTTACCGATTATACGATATAGAAAACATTTGAATAATTACAATAATTGTTGTAATCGCGAACGTGCTCAACACTTTTGAACAAATATGTAAAATTTATGGAAAAAGTACCTGAAGGGTCTCGGTATGACGGATTCCGTGGACCTCGTCGAGCTTTTCCCTCGCAGTACAATGGACGATTCCGTTTTACCGTTCCTCTTTCCGCTCATGTTGTTTCTCTTCACGAGATCGAGATCGATCCTCAGCAGCAAGCCTTGATCCTCGAAACCACGTTGGCAGGCGCGAAGCTCGAAGCTGAGCCTGAGGTCGCCAACGACTTTCTCTATCCTGAAAGAGCGGCGGATGCTAGTCCTCGGGGTGGACCAGATGCGCCGATATGGCACCTCCTGCCGTTCCGCGAAGCCGCTTTCTCGATCCTCGAGATCAACGCGAAGCGAGGTGCCGCTAGCACGAAATCCGAGAGTACCGTGATCGATATGAGTGCTACCCAAACGACGTTCCTGCGGAAGAAGTACGCGCAACCGTGTAGAAATGAAAAACCGGAGGACTCGAAGAATTTTCATATTTCGTTAAGTCAAAATTAAAAAATATAAAATGCACCGTTTTATACATCGGGATAATTTTTGTAAGAAATTGCAAAGCCGTCATTTTGATAGTTTGGTACCTCTAAATGGAGAGAATTTTATAGTAAACAGTAGTATAGATTTTTGTGTAACGGAAGAATAGATCGACATTCTACAGTAATGTATGTACAGTATGTATCTACAGTAATGTCCTTTCACTTCATAAATGCTTGTTTAATTTTAGGAACATGCTATTATGTGCTATTAAAAATAATTAAAAATAAATTTGTTTTTTGCAAAATTTACTATAATCTTTAAAGAGATTATTACAATCTCTTTCTTGCGATAGTCTGCATTTACTTCTTATTCCTATATTTCTACATTAAAAGAAAAAAATATTTAAAAAGTATAAAAAATATTTATTCGATGGGTACTAATGCCACATATTCAGTTAAATTAAAATCCTTTTATTTAAATAAAATAAACGATTGTTTTCATGAGAAACTAAAATCTTTTAAGAAAATATATATTTTCTTGTTTGAAAAATATTTTATATTAGTATATAGTAAACGTATTATTAATATCCTTTGAATAAATATTTATTATTTCTTATATGCTTTCTCTCATAATATAGAAATATAGTAAAATTAAAAAGAATTCGTATGAAAAAAGATTATAATATATAGTTTTTCTTTCTATATATACTTAACCCTAGAAATCTAAATATTAAAAGATTATATCCTAAACATAAATGAATTTTCGCATCTTATAAAAAAAATAATCAAAATTTAATGCTTTTTTTAGTTATCAGAGTAGAAATCGCCAAAATAGAGATATGATTCTATTAATGTTATTGCGATTGAATAAAGTTGCGAAAAATTACAAAATAATAAAGTAACAAAACACATGTTTTTCAAAATCTCCTTCTTCTAAGGTAAATTTTACATTGAGAAAAAATTGGGAATTTATAACTATAATCATATAGATAGAACAGTAATTATTATAAATTATAATCAAAAGTATTTTTTTAGTAAATTCTACTATAACGTTAGCGATAATGACATTATTATTTCCGTGTTAGAACAACTAAGAAATATGGTTGGGATGAAAAATAATTATAATTTTACTTAGATCAATGATTCTTTTCTCAGTTTACCCATATTTAAGGTTCTGGAATTAAGATAAAAATATCGAGAAATTTCTCACCTGCTCGCTGACGAGCTTGAACGACGCTTTGACGTCCTCGAGCACGTGGCATCTGATGTGGTCGCGCTCGCGCGACACGAAGACCGCCACGCAAAGGCGCTTCACGGCCAAACCGGGCGCAACCACAGAATTCTCGCCGGCCACCGCGTACACGCTCGGCGTCTCCGTGACGAGGAACACGCCGGCGTGATCGAGCTGCGCGAACGGCTGACCCGGCAGATTGGTCGGGTCGCCGCCCAACATCAGCACCTTGCGCCACGCCGTTGCGGAGGACGAGCCGCTCGAGCTGGTGGACGAGCTCGGGGAGTTGGTCGAGCGCGTCTCCAGGTCGATCTCCGCGGACCACAGACTCAGCTCCCAGTTGCCGGTCCTCAGCTCGGCGCAGTGCTCGAACTGGAGGATCACAGGCTTCACGAGGTCGACGCCTGGCGGGCCGCAGGCCACCACGGCGGACAACAGGGTGAGTCCGGGCGGGAGATTCGGCCTGAAGGAATTGTCCCCGAGAACGGCGAGGTGCAAGCTGTGCCGGCGGCCGCGCGAGATCGCGCCTTCTGGCACGGACATCGAGACGCCCACCTCAGGCACGACTAGAAGGGCGCCTTGCTCGTCGATCAAAGCTCTTACGATGAAGCCACCGCCGGCGCGATCGTCCTCCGTCGCCGATCGCTCGTCTTCCTCTAACCTGTCGTCGTCGTCTTGCTCATCGTCGTCTTCGTTGGTGCTCTCCGGGTTCGCTTGGCACGTCGAGCCTGCTTGCATGTGGACTTATAAAGCAACTTATAACAGATGAGAAATACGTGAATAAATTACGTCACGAAGATTGAATTTAAGTAAACTTATACACAGAGTGTCCCAGATCATCTTCACAATCTCTCGTGAGGACGTAGAGTGGATTGAGATGAACACAAAAGTTCCGTACCGTTTTGCGATATTCGCAATAATAGTCGAAATATTAATTAAAGAAGATTGGTGAATGATCACGCGTGATATGGTAGGTGAGCTGCAGTGGCGCCGTCTGCCGTTGTATACTTATACATTAAGTCATACTGAACAAAAAAGTCCTCTACCATTTTGCAAATGTCCACATAGATTTGTAAATGTTAATTAAAGAAAATTGTTACACGATTGTGTATCATAATGCAAATTTTCTTTAATTAATATCTAAAAATCTATGTGGTCATTTGCAAAATGGTAGAGGACTTTTTTGTTCAGTTTAATTATGTTAATGACTTAATGTTATATACACAAGTATAATATTATATATAATATATACAAGTATATAATAAGTATACAACGGCAGACGGTGTCACTGTAATTCATCTACCATATCATTCACCAATCTTCTTTTAATATCTCGATTATTTTGCGAATATTGCAAAATGTTATAGGACTTTTATGTTTATCTCAATCCGCTCCACATCCTCACGAGAGATTGTAAAGGTGATCTGGGACACGCTGTATAATCGTACGAGGAGTCTGATTATTCGAGTGCACAACCAACGCTTGTGTTCAGGTAGGGTGAAACACTCAATTATTGACACTCAATTATTGATCCCCCTTGGTCAATGACATTCTAGGCAAGCCTGATTTCTGTTGCGACCAGCAGCGGTTGTTCACAGTTTCAGTTGTGAACTTTTCTTTTAGAATAAGGCTGTTGAAGTGTAGGTAAAAAGTTTAATTGCAATGCTGGATGCAAGGGAAACCAAATTTCTTCCTAGAGTGTCAATGATTAAGAGGATGTTAATAATTAGGTGTTTCATCTTACATCACAATAAACTAAACAGGGAAGTCATCTACCATCTTGCAAACTTTGCAATAATATTATTAAAAAATGAATTAAAAACTATCAGCAAATGAAGTAACAACAAAGAACATGTCTCTAGCTTGTTTGTAATTATCAAGAAAAATAAAATTTAAATAAAATATTTAAAAACTATTTCCAAAAAGTTCGTGGAAACGACGAGTACAGACGGGAGGTGCGCAGAAAAATATATTATCTATCCGCAAATCCATGAAAAATTCATCAAATTTATTAAAAATACATTTTCTGAATTCCACTAAGTTTAACATTTTATTTAAAAATATTAAATTAAAAGAAAAATTCGCACACGCGATTTGTTTTAATATATAGAGTCGATCCAATTTTTTCTTCGATAAAGTTTTAAAATATTCTTATAAAGAGAATAAATTCTTCTTTTGCATATGTGATAATATGTTTTTCTAAAATTTGGGATAAATATATTTTAAAACTATTATCAAGAAAATGTTCTTTGTTGAAGATAACCATTATTTAAAGGAAGGGAAGTAAAGAAATAAAGTAAACTAAGTAAATAAAGTAACTAAGTTAAATCATCTAAATATTAATACTTTATCCTCTTTAATCATTGACACTAGAAATAGAAAAATCTAGTTTTTTTTTTACCAACGACGGTTATTCATGCAATTTTAATTGTAAAATGCCTTTTTGGAATTATAGAGGGCAGGCAAAAAGTTTAACAGCAATACTAGTTGCCAGAAAAAACGAATTCTTTCTTTCTAGAATGTCAATAATTAAGAAAATATCAATAAATATAAATAATGTTTTACTCCAACCTCTTTTCTTTTAAGCCTCTATTGCCCAAATAAATTACTCATGTTTAAAAAATGTTTCATGTACATAGAATGTTTAAAACTAAAGTACTCAATACATATAAAGTGAAATTTTATTTTTATAATTTTTTATTTTCTCAAAAATATGTGCAACCATTTAGTGGTGTAAATTATTATTTACACCACGTTAATACTTGCTATCGCTGCTAACACACTAAAATGGCAGCCATATAACTTTCACGTCACATCGATCAAGAACAACATTCATATTGGAGATATATAATAATGAAATTCTGGATTGTGACTTCAGAGTCGTAGTGGGTAGTAGAGGGTTAACAGCAGAATGATACTTTTCTCTGTGTGAATCACACAACTCTACTCATTGCGCTTTTCTTTAATTAATTAATTTACTTAATTGATCGTCCTAAAATAAATTCTTAGGAACTATTGCGAAGTTTATGAAACGATAGGTGACTATCCTGCTCGATTTAAGGAAACTGGAAGGTCAGATTACTTGAAAATCGTGCTTGTTCTTTCACAATTTTTTATGACAAAATGAATAAATATGCAAAAGTATTATTTTGACGTATAGTTATACAACATATAAAGGGAAGAAATATAATTTTGATGATTAAATACTCAATATAAATGTATGATACATGCAGTTAAAATATATTTTGTTTTTCTTCTCAAGGAGGTCATTTTGCAATAATATCTTGATTCAATTGAGCTGAATTTTAAGTAGAAAATTTCCGTAAGTCGCTATCGTGTGAACCACTGACAAACTCGTGAAAATGTTTAATTTTGAAACATTGATGTTTTTACTATAAAAGAACTGAAAACTTAATAATATTCCATTAAGATATTTGCAATTTTGCTAACTTTTACTCAGTTTCTATTATAGTGGTTCACATGATAACGAAGTTTACGGAAATTTTCTACCTAAAATTTAGTTCAATTGAGCCACTGAGAGTCAAGATATTACTGCAAAATGACGACTTTGAAAAGAGAAACAAAATATATTTTAACTGCATGTACTATACACTTATATTGAGTATTTGATCATCAAAATTATATTTTTCTTCTCTTTATATGTTGTATAAATACATGTCAAAATAACACTTTCGCATAATTATTCAGTTTGTCATAAAAAATTGTGAAGCACGATTTTCAGGCAATTTGATCCTCCAATCCCTTCAATGCGCACACGAGCGTTGGCGCAGTGATTGTTAGACACCCCTGTACATCTTGACGATGTTTTCCGCGAAACTTCGCGGCGAGATATTCGTTCTCCAGATTGTTCGGCGGAGACGATGAGCAATTCATCGAGATTGATTACGCACTTAAGGAGTTCTCGTGTTCTCGAGTCGAATATAGGAGTCTCTTACGGGAAGATCGGCCCTCCTCATTATCCGACATGCCGCGTCCCCGTTGCGAATTCTTGCAGGAGGACCTGGTTACGGAGGAGCTCGGGGATGGTCTCGTTGTCGACGGTAATGACAATTGCGGGACGTCATAATGATGCTCCGAGCAGGATCTGCGTATATACATACACGTGTGTACGTGTACGTGTGTATGCGCGTGTGTGCATGCTGCGCATCGTGAAATTATATAGACGCAAGCCGAACGCTGATTCATATCGCGTCCTTATTATTTCGATTTAGTGCACGGATATGGGTACCTGGGTAACCGGGCGGCGTTCGACTCGTCGATCACATGCTCGAGGCGCCGGTCGTTAGCCAAGACGTTGGCGCGCTCGTTCTTGGAGACGACGGACTTGGCGAGGTCGCCCGGACGACGGAAGTCCAGCCTCGCGACGCCGTACAACGCCTCCATCCGCTCTTTCCGGCGCATGAAGCGAACGAAGAAGATAGTGGTCAAGGCCAAGATAATCGCGGCTAAGCTCAGAGTGATCCACAACGCGAGGATGTTTCTATGATCGACCGCCCGAGTCGCTAGGGGAAGAAATTACTATTCAGCGTGATAAAAAAAAGAAAATGTCACGAGATGTTCGTCCCCGTTTCTTTACCTTCCTTGAACACTCTCGGCCCGTCTTGTCCAAGCGCTGCGTGTAACAAGAAAAGAAACATTTCGGTCTGGTGTAGTTAATTGTTTGAGATCCGGTTTTTTGTTTTGGAAAATTAGTGTAATTTTAATGGATAAATATCAGATAGATGTAAATATAATGTTCTGAAGGTTCGATTTGAAAACTAGTTTTAGCAAAAGAAAAATATTTTTGCAAGAAAATAAAAAAATATTAGAATATATCTAATTAATCTTTTGAATTCAGGTCTCTTTTATTTTGAATATTTAGTATGATTCTAAAGGAGAAATATTAAATAGGTGTACGATAGTTAAATAGTTTTACGAAGGTTTGATTTGAAAAGTGGTTTTAGCAAGAAAAATGTTTCAGTAAAGAAATAAAAAAATATCAAGTTTATCTAATTAATTCTTTGAGTTTTTTTATTTTGAAAATTTAATGTAATTTAATGTAATTTAAAATTTTAGAGAAACACATTAAATAGATGAAAATAATGTTTCGAAGATTTTATTTGAAAAATAGATTTAGCAAGAAAAAAATATATCTCTTAAAAAGTAAATAAAAAAAATTATTATAAGGTTTATCTAATTAATCCTTTAAGAGTCCCGGTTTTTTATTTTGGAAATTTAGCATGATTTAAAAAATTTTAAAGAAATATCAAATAGATATAAATAACTGAAAGTTTGATTTAAATTATAATTAATTGAAGGTTTGATTTAAAAAATAGTTTCAGTAAAAAAGTATTTTAACAATAAAATATTACAAAATTTATAATAATAATCGGTTTTGAGTCCAGGTCTTTTACTTTGAAAATTTAAGATAATCCTAATGGAAAAATATCAAATACATATTAAAATAGTTTCTCGAAAATTTGATTTAAAAAATAGTTTTAGCAAGATAAAAATATTTCAACAAGAAAGAAAATGTTATCATAAAATATATCTAATTAATTTTTTTAGTTTCGTTTTTATGTTTTGGGAATTTAGTGATATTACATCTCTCTCTCTCTCTCTCTCTCTCTCTCTCTCTCTCTCTCTCTCTCTCTCTCTCTTAGAGATACAAAATTTCAAATTTGAAGAAAATAAAAAATTTAAATTTAAATTTAAATTTCGGAGAAATATTAGATAGGTGTAAATAGTGTTTGAAAAGTTTGATTTGAGAAATAGTTTTAACAAAAGAAAAAAATTTCAAAGCAAGAAAATTAAAAAATTATTGTAAAATTTATTAAGAAAAATTAAAAAACAAGATAAAAATTTAAATTTTTAAAATAAGTAAACTGCCACACTATATATATATACTCGTATATATAGCTTCAAAAACGTTCCATTGTAACATAGACCAGATGAAACAAAATATTTGTATTTTTAAGAATATTATATATGCCTTAAGAATGCGCCGGAACTCAAAGAGTTAATAGAGGCAATCGAAACTACATAACTCGGGAGAGAGACAATCGATCGCCTTCGTGTCTCTACTTGCAAATTTCTGCCTCACCCACCAGACGCGGATCCGCCAGAGTCGATCTCGCCGATGAATCATCGCGCGTGCGAAGTCATCGGATGTTACGAATAGCAATCACGCGCGCGCGAAGAGATAAAGGACGTTGCGCGGGCCCGAGTAAATCATTAGGCAGTCGCGCGAGTCACGAGGAACAATAAGAAATGCAGAAACGCGGCTGGGGCTCACCATTACATCGATCCGTGGCGCAGGACTCGACGATGACGTCCTTGCCTTGACAGGGACGACCGCCGTTGCTAGGCGGGGGGTCGTTGCAGGATCTCCTCCTTATTCTCGAACAATCGGGACCGCATGCGGACCACGAGGACCAAGTTGACCATCTGCCGTCAACCGCTGCGAGCAACGGGGTGGCGGTTGAAAATCCCGATTAAAGTGCGATTATCTGACTCGCGAGCGAGCAGAAGAACGGATGCACGAGTACATCGGGTTTCAATGAAGCCTTGACATTTGTCAGAACAAACCTCTCTGGTTCTTTCAAGCGTTCGCATTGTGCCTGGATATGCGTGTATATTATGGCTCTCGATTATCGATCAATCTGTCACTCGAAGTTTGATATATCATATTATATCATTCTTATAATCATATCATATAATATATAAAATATAGACTGTCTGTATGTCCCCTATATTAACTCCTAAATTCTCTGACCGATTTGGATCAAATTTTGTAAGTTACTTTCTAGGACCTTGCGGAAAATATAGGCTACATGCAACTTAGACACTTCACTTCCTCCTCTAGTTTCATCCCTTTAACGTTTTGTGATAATTTAAGTTTAGATGTTCTAGGTATAAGAATCTCAAACCCAAACCTAAACCCAAACGAATTTAAGCTAATATCATATAATATCATATATTATATCATATATCCAAGGTTGGGAAGTAACTCGTTACTTGTAACGAAATTACAGTTACAGTTACATTTTTTTCGGTAACTGTAACTTAACTTGGTTACTTTTTTCCCACCTGTAACTGTAACTTAACTTAGTTACTTATTTTTAGTAACTTGTAACTTTTTTAATAGTTACTTTAATAGTTACTTGGAAAACGTAAAATAAAATTAAAATTATATAGTAATTGTATATTAATTAAATAAATTTTAATCAACGTATTTATGGGACATGTGATTAAATTCTTTTACTTCTACAAGATTATTATTAAATTCTTATTATGTTAAGTACAGATTTGAAATTTATTAAGTGGATAGACTAATTAATGTGATAGATATTAATTATAAAATTCAATTTTTACATTTTAGTAAAGTTTAAAATGTAAGATTTTTATATTTACAATAATAATTTACAATCATTTCAAGAAAGTAATTTAAAAGTAACAACTCGTTACTTTTTAAGTAACTGTAACTGTAACGAGTTACTTTTCATAGCCAGTAATTTGTACTTGTAACTAGTTACATTTTCAGCAAGGGGAACTGTAACTGTAACTAGTTACTTTTAAAAAATAACTCCCAACTCTGATTATATCACAAAAATACACAATCATAATCATAAATACAAAATCACAATCATAAAAAATATTATCATATTATATCATTGTTGTATTGTTATTATTATTATAAAAGTCTTATTGAGTATCATTAACGTACGTAAATTGCATAGCAAATACTTTAACAAAAATAACTCAAAGAGCGAAGCAACTAATGAACAATTAATATAAAATTTAACCCGAAAAGAAGAACATTTAATCGAGAACAGATGATCAGATAGACGGGTGTCCGTAAATTTGATAACAATTTTATTAGTCAACCAATAAAGCTTGCATCCTTTTTATGTATTACTTTATATAGCATTTATATTTATCATATAAAATAATAAAAATGCAAGGAAATTATAAACATTTGCTTAAAACAATATGTCACGTAAAATGTAATATGAAGATCTGAATGTAACTTAGAATTCAGAATCTGAGAATTTGTAACCAAAAATTTGAAATTTGAGTATAATTAACAATCAAAAATATATTTTAATCGAGTGTAACTTTTAGGGGCGATTTTTCAATAGCAATTTAAACTTGGATTCAAATTTAAACTTTATTCTAACAATTCGTTTGTTTTGTTTAAACAGAGTTTAAATTGAAATCTAAGTTTAAATTATCATTGAAAAAAAAAAACCGGCCCTTAAAGTTGCATTGTAGATGGGAGACACGAATTCGCGTCTTTCATTTGTCAAACGTTGGGAACGGGAGACGCGAATCGGCGTTTTCCATTATTTTGACGGGAGACGCCAGTAGGGATCTAATCCAAAAATGTGTGAGAACTGAGGTAAGATCCATTTCACAGTATACCGTCAACAATGTGTGTTAATATAACAAATAATTTATATTATTATATAATGAAAATTGAATGAATTCATTCCATATACAGTATGCTTGTTTCATCAATATAATCAAAAGAATTGTAAAATTTCCATCACCGATTGTCGCGATAATCATGAAAGTCTATTTAAGTAATTATGAATGAAGAAGTAGGCGGAAGGTAAGTAAAAAGGAAAAGTAGAGGTCGATGCAATGTACCAACTGACAAAACTACAAAATGCAAAAACTGATGATGAGTACTAAGCATACTCTCTGGTACCAGATTATAAATTCGCATTGCAATGTATAAAAAAGTGCCTGGGAATTCTGTTGTGCGACAAATGGAAAAGAAAAATTGGGATTGGGACCATATTAAGTTATAAGATACGATAGAGGACGATTCAGACTGTTGAGTTTTGACTTGGTAAATGTTAAGGCTTCATTGAAGCTTAGAGCACATCTGTACCACGTATCTTGATCGTGCGTTTCCACCCGAACGTTTAGTGTTTAGCATTTAGCGCTGTTCTGGATGCGTGCGATCGTCAAATTCGATTCCATTAAAATTCGTGACGTCGTGCTGTATTATATCAAGTGTCGCGCGTACGAGCAGTCTTTGTAGTCTACCTACCGGGACAGGAAGGATTGCATTCTACCCTTTGTGTGGCTGGCCCTGGGCACGTTTGACCGCCGTTGATTGGAACGGGATTTGTACACGTTCTTGTCCTCTTTTGTACGCCTCTACCGCAACGAACGCTACACTCCGACCATCCAGACCAGGACGACCACCCGCCGTTCACTGAGAATGGACCGAGAAGAGGAAAAAAAAAGAAAGATACCGACGGTGAAATTAAAACGGGAACAAATAGCACCTCGTTACGCCCCGCGGCTCGAACAGATCCAGAGCGAGTGCTTGACCGTCGCTACGCCGTCTCAATGTAACAATATGTGTAAATGCGATGATTCTCAAAGCAGCGAGCGGTAAGTCGACTTCGAGGCCAAATATAAGTTCAGCATTTAGTAAAGAGATGAAGCAACTTCGATAATCAGAAGCTCTACAACTAAATCCAACGTACAGCTTCCACGTAATAACATTAATGCTGGCGTTATTTAAAATTTCAAAGCTCGTAACTCAGAAAGTTTTCAACGCAGTGATCTCAAATACCAGGTCTGTAAATATGAAATCGGAATTTTTGTATAGAAAATACACGTTTATTGTATGAAAATGATAACAAATATTTTATTCGAAGTATTGCCCATCGCTAGCTATACATTTTTCCCACTTGTCTGACAATTTGTGGATGCCACGCCAAAAAAACTGTTGCTCTTTTGAGGCAAACCAGTCATCGAGCCATTTTCGTACATTTTCGTAAGAAGTGAAGCGATGCTTACCAAGTGCGTGTCCCATCGATGCAAATAAATAGTAATCGGACGGAGCCAAGTCTGGTGAGTAAGCCGCATGCGAAAGTATTTCCCAACTAAACGCCTCAATCGTTTCCTTGACCAGTTTTGCTGTGTGTGATGGTGCATTATCATGAAGCAAAATCACTTTGTGTTGCCTTTTTTATATTCTGATCGTTTTTCACGCAAAGCTTGATTCAAATCGATCATTTGTTGTCGGTAGCGTTCAGTATTAACG